GTAAACATCTAAAATTAATTAGTTTATTTTGAAGTTTTGACACTAAAACATCAAGAAATGGCAAACGACTACCTCTTCTACTTCTAAAGTAAATTTTATGGTAGGTTCGCGAGGAATTTATATTCCAAAAATGTCTATTTCAAAACGTTATGTTGCCATATTGCAAAAATATCATCAACATAACGCAGCCATGTTACAGGCTTTTTTGAGTAACTATTTATTGTATTATTTTCAAAATCTTCCATAAAAATATTACTTAACAAAGGAGAGAGGGGTGATCCCATTGCCATACCGAAATCTTGTTGAAAAAATTCATTATTTAATTGGAAATAAGTAGTTTTAACACAAAATGTCAACAATTCCAAAATACTATCTATGTTTAATTTTGTTCTATCTATTAAATCGTATGTTTTCATGAAGTAATCATTTTCTATTTATTAAGAATACAAATCTTTACAATAAAAGCAGATTTTGAAAGAAAAATGTTTGGAGAAGCACCAAAAATTTTGTTTTATGTCCAAAATTAACTACAAATATTTTTTCTGATAAGTCAAACTCTAAAAATCCCTTAACCTGGCCACAACCGGTGTTTCTACCCTACATTTTTAACGAATATACAGGAAAATAAGTTTGTTTCTCATTTACCTGGATCATATCTGTCAGTGCAAGTATAAAAATCACCATGGTTACAAGGAATGTCAGCTCCCCACCTGTCATTGACTACTACTTCATCACCTACTGGACTTTCGTTGTATAACCTATAGCAAAATTAAACAGCAATATTACAGCTTGTTATAATCAAATATTTAATACAGATATTGGTGAGTATATAAAATGATTGTACTTACCATGCTAAAAACTCAGTGGAATTCCAGTATGTGTAGTTTGCTTCCCAATCACCATCAGACCATAAAATTGAGGGTTTATACTGCTCTACCAACTCGTACAGTTCAGGTAAAGCCTTGGCTTTTTGCAAAATCTTGAGTGGTGAAGTTATTCGCTCTGTCCGATAGATAGATTGGATGAAACCATTCGTAGAGTGAGTGGGTACAGACCGAATGTTAAGTTTGCTTGTCTTACAGCTGTACCAAGCTCATCTTTTTATAGAATAGATAAACAAAAATGTAATTAGCGTATTTTTGAAATAACGATATTTTTTTCAAACGTCACAAAAAAAGATACTAATTTTTGCGGCGTGATAAGACAATATAACTCCTAGGCATAAAAGTAAAGCACTTTTATACCTAAGTACAAAAGTACGAAAATATATTATTAAACTGATATAAAATATTAGATTCAACGAGTGTAACAATAATTTCTCGATATATAATTACTTACAAGGTTTTATTTTAAATCTTTTTATATTTGCAACGTTTGAATTTGTTTAAACAATTATTTGTGACGTTTGAAAAAAAATATAGCATGTTCTGTTCGGAGTAAAATAACTTTTTGTGTCTCGCCTGTAACCAACAAACAACCAACAAACCAAATCAAACGTACAGGGTGGGTCAACGATAGAGTAAAGTCCATTATCTCATTTGTTTCGAGGTTTACAAAAAAATATTAAATGTAAAAGTTATAGGGACGGTTAAGATACACATTTCAAAATTATTATAGAGTATACAGGGTGCTTCAAAAAAAGTGTGGCCAATATAACATATGTTTTTTAAATGGAATACCCCATTTTTTATTTTATTTTTAGATTCTGTAAAATTCCATAACTTTTTTCTATATAATGTTTTATACCTAAAATTAATAATTTTTGTAATATTTAAATTTGTTTAAACAAATGTTAGATTGCAGTGTGATAAAAAATTGTCAGTGATGGTATTGTTTCTGAAGTTGGAAAACTAAAATTTGGTAGGAGAATTTTATAGAGATATAAAAAAACCTATGTAAAAATATATTAGTTAGATGCTACAGGGTGTTCAAAATATATTTATGAATTTCAACTATTTAAAATTAAAAAATTTCAAATTTTTTAAATGGGACACCCTATATATTTTCATTTTTTCTGATAGATTTTACAATACTCTTCAACTTTTGTTTGTCATATACCTATTTTTAATAACTTGCGATTTATTCCAATTTTTTTCTATTTTTACCCATATTTTTAATACAATTACCCTATAACATCATAGTTACCATGACAAAAAGTAATAATTATCAAAATTTCTTGTCTGTTAAGCAAGTTAAGAACAAAATTTGAATTTTAGTTTAATTTGTTGTAATAGGTACAAATTGTAGAGATAATAGTTACAGATTTTCCTGAAATTAATTAGTCAATCTGACTGATATGCACCAACAAGCCAAAAAAAAATATATTTCTTGGTTCAGTACTATATATTATATAGTACTATGTTAAGTAGTATAAGAACAGATGTAGATAATCTAGAAAACATCTTCAGTGGGTAATGGGACGGTTTCGCTGCAGTAGTAATTAGTAATATTGGCTTTACCAAATGAATTATAAACCAGAATTACTACGAGAAAAAAAACTTGACTGTATGTCGAAGAAAATTCTTATATCAGTAGTCTTCAACAATTAGGTAATCTAGTGTTACACTAATCTGGGAAAAAAATTGAATTTACGGAAAATCCAAGTGTCATCTTTCATAAATATAGAAATACACCAAGAAATTCACGACTGCGATTTTAGTTTATTTGAGTAAAGTTAATTAATTTTAACTAATACCAGCAATTGTAACTAATTATTAAGCTACTTTTTAAAGATAAGTAATAAATAGTTTGTTTTGTCATGGCAACTATGATTTTATAGGGTAATTGTATTAAAAATATGGGTAAAAATAGAAAAAATTGGAATAAATCGCAAACTATTAAAAATAGGTATATGACATACTTAATAAAAGTTGAAGAGTTTTGCAAAATCTATCAGAAAAAATGATAATATATAGGGTGTCCCATTTAAAAAATTTCAGATTTTTTAATTTATTACCACACCCTGTATTATTACACCCTGTATCATTTAACTAAAAGATCTTTATATATATCTTTTTGTTCATCTCTATAAAACTCTCCTACCAAATTTTGGTACTCCAACTTCGGAAACAATGGCACCACTGACAATTTTTTACCACACTGCAATTTAACATTTGTTTAAACAAATTAAAATATTACAAAAACTATTAATTTTAGGTATATATTATATATAAAAAAGTTATGGAATTTTACGCAGAATCTAAAAATAAATTAAAAATTAGGGTGTTGCATTTAAAAAAAACATATGTTATATCCGCCACACTTTTTTGAAGCACCTTGTATACTCCATAATAATTTTAAAATGTGTATCTTAACCTTCTCTACAACCTTTATAATTAATTTTTTTTGTAAACCTCGAAACAAATGAGATAATGGACTTACAATGGATAATTACTCTATCGTTGACTCACCCTGTACATCCTCGCCACAAAAAGTATCATTTTTACCCCTAATAAAACACTATACATTGGTACTAACCAATTATATCTCTGTGTGGTCCAATGTCTTTAGCATTCCAACTGAATGAGTACTTTGATGGCCAAAGTGTAAATCCTTCGTGATGCTTACTTGTCAGTACGACATACCTAGAAGAATACTATATTTTAAAACTAAAGTTTTGAAAAAATGGCTATACCTCTGTGTCGGATTCACCTCTTCAAAAAAGTCCTAAGGTTATAATTTATAAATTTTATTTTGTTGATTTTTTTACAGTACAAGTGGCGAAATACCCAAACAAAGTTTACAAAACACCCAGAGGACTTTTTTGATAAGGTTTTGAAGTTTTAATCATCATATAACGTCCAAATTTTTGAATATTTTTTTTGCTGCTTTGAGAATTTTTATTTTATTTCGTTACTATATCCTGTTAGTTTGTAGTAATTATTTTGCTGTGGGTGGTACTTACTTGGCTCCAGACTTGGCAAACAGATTTGCCCATTGGGTGGCATTGAAGAATTCGGCAGTAAAATCTTTGGCAAACTCTTGATAGGTGAAGTTTGGTGGAAAGTTCTTCTCGATGTAGTCACTAATTTCTTGAGTTTCTATAAAAAAAGTTTTTTATTGTATTTATCACTTTCGACACTGATCTAAAGAATATTAGAACAGCGCACCTTTTCATATAAATATAATAGATATTTTAATTCATTAGTATTTTTTTGTGTTTAATAGTTTTTAAAAAAAATTGTTGCAATTGTTTTCTATTTCCTTTTAGTAATAACAAAAATATTTTCAAGTGGGTATTTTTATTTTATATATAAAAATATTTGTTTTACATCAT